AGTGTCGGTGCCGCGCTGGGAGCGGGTGGCCCGCTTCGCCGTGTGCGTGTTCGGCATCATCCTCTCCCTCTACGCCTGCTACGTGGAGCGCGAGAAGGGCCGCGACAACCATTACCAGGCGCTGTGTGACATCACCGAGCGGGTGCGCTGCTCCGTCGCCATCTCCTCCAGGTGAAGCGGGGCTGGGGACCGCCGCCGTCGCCTCAGGCCGTGGCGGAATGAACGGCCGAGCGCGGCTCTCTGAGGGGGCGGCAGGAGCTGGGGCCTCTGAGGCAATTGGGGTCGCGGCAGCAACGTGTGCTGGACCAGGGTGGGGGAACGAGCAGGAGGGTCCCTGGCCGAGCAGAGAATTCCCGGCTGTGGGAATTGTCTTGCCTTGCCGGAGATCCCTAAGGCGGGAGGGTGAGGCCCTTGCGGTGGCCGTGTGGTAATTCTGGGCGGTTAACGAGTGTGGCAGGAACTCGGGGTAAATATACCTTAGAATGAAGTGCTGTAGGCGTGATGATAGGGCTAACATAAATACATGCAATCACAGATGATTTATTTTCTCATATTTTAATAGTGGTATGTGAATTGCTTTTTCCTTATAGCATTCTTAGCAGTGTATGTGATTGTGCTTAATTCAGGAAATATTTGTGTGTTTCAACAGTAAAAGTCCACTGTCTTGATTTATTTTACACACTTCTCATCAGCAATAAAACTGTTTTGCAGCTGTTTTCTTTTCTTTTTTTTTTTTTTTTTTTTTTCCCTAAAGGCCCGCAGTCTCCCAATGCATCTTTTAAGAGTTGGAATATCGGTCTTAAGAATGTGTTGCTAGCTTGATTTCTTTTTAAGCAGCTGGTTTGTTTAATCATTATTACTGAGAAGAATTTATTTGCTGTTTGTTTACAAATATTATCTCTGTAAATATCCTACATGAAATGTTTCCAGCTGTTACTAGGTTGAGAAATGCTTCCTAAAAAATAAGTATCTCAACTAGAGAAATAGGAGTTTTATCCAGCAATATCAAGACTGCTCTCTGAGTGTATGCTATTTTTCCATATATGTTTGTATATACACATACACGGAGATGGAAAGAGGTAAGGAGCTGGAATGGGAGAGGGTTTGAGTTTTTCAGCAAATGTGTTTAATAAGCCCTTGAAACAGCTTCCTTCTGTTGGGAAAAGAAGGATTTCGATAATTTCATCATAACATGGCATAACTAGTAATTTTATGGTAGTGGAATGAGTACTTGGGTCTTTTTTCCTTTTTCTTTTTTTTCCTTATTTCCTTATTCAATTTAACTTATGTATAAGCTGTCATAGTTACTATAAAGGCACTTGATATGTTACCATAACAACGTTTTATGGGAGAACACACCTGTAATCTGTGAGGGTGGAAGCTGGTTAATCTGTTTAGTCAACACATGTAGGGAGCTCTAGTTCTTAAGACCAGCTCTGTGGCGATAGAGCTGGTGTTGTTTTACATTACAAGGAGATGTGTATCTACAGATGCTTGGAAGGTAGTTCTTGTGTTTTAATTGAGGGTTTTAACTCTGCTTTTCTGTTTCTCATCAGATAATCTTTAGTTTACGAAGATGCTAGTTCTTGTCTCTTCTAAAGAAGTGTTTAAAAACAAGAAGTTTCAATTTAAAAAGGTTTAGATGATGGCCTGGTGACTTAAGCTCATACATTAAAATGATGTGTAGGTTGCTGAGATAAGCCATGCAAGCATTGTTAGTAATCTTACCTTCAAAACTTCTATAGAGGTGTATTTAAATAAATAAGTAAAATCAGGGGTTTGATGGTATGCCTTTAAGCACCTAACTAACTGGAAATCAGTGTGTGTTGGGTTTTTTTTGTTTTGTTTTGTATAGGTTTGGATCCCCGCTACCTTATTATTATTATAAATTCAGTGTCAAGTATTAATACATGTTTATTGAGAGTTTTCAAAAATGCATACTGTCTGAGCTGAGTTATTTTGGAACTAAGTTCTGGTCTTTGGAGAAGCTTTTTTTTTTTCCCCACTAATAAGCTGTTCATGCTCCCAGGTCTTGCCCTTAATCCAAAACTAGTATTGGTGCAATGATGAGAGCAGAAATGTTGTAAAGATTACCACTGTGCAGAGGGAGGAGCATGGAAAATCTTATATCAGCGACTGACTCATCCAGAAGATTATACTGGAGAACTGCCTTTGTAGTACCTCTTATTATTCAAAATATTAATGTGCAGCATATTTCAAGCTGTTATCCTGGCAAAAGTTCACAAAGTAGTTTAAAAAGAAAAACAACTCAGGATGATACAGTGATCACTACCACTTTTCAAGAATAAAGCAAGACATGAGGAAATAACTAACATTTTCATTTGGCAATCGCTTTAGTTCTTTTAAGTGAATTGCTCTCTTGGGAATAATTAAGTGGCAAGAATGAAACTGTCTAATAGCAGTTAATGTAAGGTCTTTTTACTTTGGCTGTTACAATTGTTTTGTAGAGGGAATTAGACTAATAGACAAGTTTCAAATAATATTCCTGGGGGGATAGCTTGAAATAAGAAGTGTAATTTAAGTTGGAATACAGTGGCCATGAGCCTTGTGTTTTGTTCTTTTGCATGCCACAGGTGGCTTTCAGGTCTTCCTGCCTTCTGTTTTGATTCATCTAATATTCCTGCAGAGCAGGCCATTAAATGACTGCTACTTAAGGAAAATGTGTGGCCTAGCATGTGTTAAGTCTGTTTTTAAAATGTTACAGTGTTATGGTAGCTATCCTAAGCTACGGTGATGACCAAAGGGCAGATGTCTCTGTATATCTTTAGCAATATTTGCAGCTTTCAGCCAACTGTGTAAGTGGAGAAGTTTGGAAATAGTCAATATTGACCTAGGTTAACATCTCTAGCTGGCTTATTGAAGAAGTTTAAAGTAACAACAGGGTTTTAAAGAATCTGTGTTCATTTGGATATAGCTTGATGAACAAGATGTTTTAGGGATTCCCTGTGCTGAACTTCGTGATAATTTGGAGGCTTCAGAATGCCTGTCATCTTCTGCTTGAGTCACTGGCTAGTCTGAATGTGCAGTAAGCATATATTTTTTTAATGGATGTGCCAACATAATAAGATGGTACTTCTCAAAAATGTGTATCAGTAAACTCTTGCTTGTGTTGTGGAGAGGTTTTTACAGATACATAGCTCTTGTACACAGCTCTTGGATTTGCCAAGGGCCCCATGACAACTGTAGTATTGCATTGCTCTGCTCGCCTTCATAAATTATTTTAAACAATGAGTTCCGACTTGTGTAAATATTATGGTTGAGCTTCTCTGTTGTGTGGAATAGTACTTCAGTTCCACGTTGTGTGAAAATATGAATATATAACTTACAATTGCATCCTCTTTCTGAGAGAAATAGTATAGTGAAGCTAAAACTTTTGAGTGGTGTGTGTTTGTTTTCCAGGGAAGCCCACCTTGTTCATGTTGTTATTCTGGTGCAACTTTAGAGTGCAGAGTATAACAAAGATCAAGTTGATAAGAACAACCCCATGATCTAAAGAAATGGAGCATGGAATGAAACTTCTCTGGCCTCATATATAACCTGACGTTTGTATTGTTGGTTCCCATTCAGTTCTGTTGTGGGGCAGTTCCTGTAAGCTTGATGTCTGTCAAGTTTGCTTGATTCCAGGTTAAGAGCATTATATAGTAGTTATCTTTGATTTTAATGGTGAGTTTCTGGTGTCCTGGCTTCTCTATTCCTGTTATACCTGATAGCAAGCGTGCAAATATGTTTGAGGCAATTGCTAGTGACTGATGTAAGGTGAAAAATGGTGAAGATAGTGTTATACAGAAAGTGGGAAAAGCTTATGAAGCTGCTTCTTGTGAACAAGCGTAGGCAAATAAGGCTCATGAGCTTTCTAATTTTACTTATTTTTACTTACTAATTTTAACTTATTTTGACAAGCTTTTTGCTGGTCATCAGTCTGTTTAACATGAAGAAAAGATACTGTTTTTTTGTCAGGTATCTTTGTTTCTGCACAGAAGATGATAGAACTTTGATTAAGCAGCTGAATGTGAAACACCTGGTGGTCATTCAATGTGAATCATACTATTCTTAAACTGTCAAAGTAAGTTTTTACAGCCCTTTGAGGCTGAGCTGAAATTTGTCCAGTGGTTTAAAATCGATGGGTGTGCATTTGAAGTCTACAGATTACTAGATAGCAAGTATAAGGCTGCTTTTGTAGTTGTTCAGTAGAAAAGTTTGTAGTTTTTTCTCTTTAAGGAAAATGTTTAGGATCTCAAGTTTATTGCATTGAATGTCCAGGGGGAGATGAGTGAAGACGCAGCCTGTCCTGTGAGCCAAGTGCTCTGCTTCAAAGCACTGCAGATTAAATACACTGGTGAATTTCAATGAGTTGTCATAACTGTAGCTAGCTGAGTACTGCACAAGCTTTACAGCTGAGGATACTGAGCCAAAAAAGTTGAAGCAACTTTAGGCTAGAATGGGTCGTGTTGTTTCTACTTTTTTATCTTGATTTCTAGAAAAAAAAAAAGCCTGTGTTGTGTATGCATTGCTTATCTCTAATAATCTGTAGGTTTTATGGCAACACTTAACAAAGAATAGAATTTTCTGAAGTTCTGTGGAAACAAAAGCAGTGTAAATGTGGAGAGGAAAAGAAAATCTTTTTATAAGCCAAAAAAAAAAAAAAACCCCAAAAATTGGTGTCAGTCGTCTTTGGTCTGTCAGGCGGTGAGTGCACATGTAAATAGGACTTGGGCAGGACTGATAGGTAATGGACTTGATTGAGGAGAGGTTGGAGGGTGTGAACCAAGAGAGGATCTGGAAGTATTCTGTGTGCTGGGGAAGGAGGGTGTTATAGGATAACTTACAGAAAACCAGCTTAACTCTAAAAGATTTTTGCCAAAGTAGCTTCAGAGAGCTACTCTGAAGAAGTAGTAGAGAGAATCAAATCAATCATTCAAATGTTTCTCTCTGTCATATATGTATATTTTTCTTTAAGGGGAAAAGGCTTAATACTTCAGACCGATATACTATATATTGGCTGAGGCTGTGTCTTTCATAAGATACACGAATCTCATTTCTATATAAGATTTTTTTGTAATCCTTCAGTGATCTGAACTATAATGTATTTTTATAGATGTATTATTTCTGACTTGACTGAAAATCTGCAGTAGCGCTGAGAATTATTTAGCCTGATACTGTGAAAATTTAACAGTGCCTGTCAGATTGGTCAGAGTTTATGTAAACTTAATAAAATAGATTATATAGAAAGAATGCTTTGTTGACTTGTAGTTTGAATAGCCGGTGCTTCCCTAAAGTCTACGTTAAAGTAGTTAACCATTGTCTGAGACTGTCTTCTGTAGATGCTTCAATCTTAGTTGTTAGTGGCAAATAAATGCTAATAGATTTTAAAATGAAAGTAAATGTGTCAATTCTTTGGGCACTCTTGGCAAGCTCACAAAGAGGATTTTTAATCGCCCCTTTTTTTTTTTTTCTGGTGACTTGTAGTTGAAGGCATTTACTGAACTTATTAAAACTGTTTGAGTGGCCTAAGTGCCCTTGTGGCTATGAATTAAGTTTAATCCCAAATCCTCTAGTGAAGCTGTGCAGAAGCTGCAACCAAAGTTCCAAACACTACGAAGCATTAATGTGCTCTGGATCCTTTGCCCTTTATATCAGCTTTTCACTGAAGGCAGTGTGTGAGCATAGGCCAGCTTTACTTGCTGCATTAGAACATTCATTCTATACTGTAATTTATCTCAGAAGTCAGATGACATTTAAGGAAATGTCTACGTATCACTTGTCAAGTGTAGGCTTCTTTTAGGAAATGGTATGTATTGTTTCTTCAGGGTTACTTGCCTTTTATGGCAAGTTAATGAATGCCATGAAGAATAATCATGAAATTATAGGCTCTGAAAAAGTAGTACTATTCAGAAAACAGAATTTGGAGCTATTACAGATATCTCTCTAAAGATATAATTGGTTTGTTGGTTACAGTGCTGTGTTATACATCAGGTTATACTGTCTTTATGCTAAAGTACAGTAAATTGTCTAGTGTGCAAGCCTGCTCCCATACATTATTCTGGAACATAAAGGGTGTTCATAATTGGGCCAAAGAAGTAATGATCAATAGTATCTGACGTTCTAGATGAAGATGCGTCATTTGGGGATCAAGTGGCATCAGCTCTTCACATCTTCCTCTCTTGAGAAGTGTTGGATGTGTACAAATGTTGTTTTAAGCTCCTAAATACGCAACACTTATAAAGCCTTTTTAAATACCACAATCCAAAGGGGAGACTGTTTAGAGGGTAGATGATGCTTTTCAAGACTTGCTTTTGAGGAAGAAAAAAAAAAGGGGGGATGGATATTGTGAATAAAAGTCAATAGTATTATTCAGATTTCTTTATCTTGGCTTTCTTTGAAGCCAGTTGAATCAGTATTCGCAAAATTTGCAGGTCTTTTTAAGGGCAAATTTTTTTTTTAAGAACATTAGAGGTTCAAACTAAATATGAAACGAAATAGGCAACATCATCTTGAAGAAAGGGGAGTGGGAATTTCAATTAGCTGAAACATGCAGCAAGACAAAGTTTCTCAAAGTTTCTCTTGAAACTTCCTTGAAGATAGTTCAGGTAGCCTTTCCCTTATGGGAGTGAAATTTGGGTGTGGCAAAACTAGCCTTGCCGTGTGTGTGTGTATATTTTATGTTGCTCTGAATGACAATGATTTTGGCATTATTTTCACAACAGAGCACTCGACTGCTTCATGGATTGGGTGTCACAAGTCAGTAGCAGGACATAGTAGATTTTGGTCTGTTTTTTCTAGCTTGTTGCATGATTAATTATTTTAATTTAGTTTATTTGACTTAATACTTTATATTCAAAAAGCACCAGTGTGAGTTAACAATAATTTGTTCTTATAAAATAGAATCTTTACAAAGAAGATGAGTTCCCTGAAGAATTTCTGAGCAGTTTATAGTCCTTGTGCCTCATAAGGCCTGTACTGACCTCTTATTCCTTCAGGAGTATTCTAATCATGGGTCTACAATCTTTCTTTTTGCTATTTGTTTTCTGTATGTTTTTAAACTTTCAAAGTTATCATAAGTCAAATATGAGCAGAAAGTTTTTATGACATTCAAAGTTCTCTTCCCTACCTCACTTGCTTGCAAAAACACTTGGTTGCTTGTTTTAATGTCTTTAGAGACCTTGATAGAATTAGGAGATGAAATGGTCTCTCTTAGACACAAAGTCTAAACTCTTGGCATTTTAGTTTGTAGAAAAATTCCTCACCTATGAAACCTCTAAAGCTGAAAAAAAAGTGCATTGCAGCTTGACTGACAGGATTCTTTGCTATTTCTGAGTGTGTGTGGAATAAAATGCAGGATTTAAGCTGTCCTCCAATGACTGAAAAATAATACCTGATGTCCTTAACCTGCTGGAAGGCCAACAAGATACTTAGGAACTATTGCAGGGGGGAAATGGTTTTGCCATGTTGGCTTTTTGCAGCTATGAACATATCACCTGGGGTTACTGACTGTCGTAAAGGGCTTGGACTCATTATCTTTCCATTAGCAACGTTTTATTGACTTGCAGGATAACGACATAACAGTCTGTGGTCCAGAGTTTCTGATGTTTTAAACTTGGGTTCAAGCATGACAGAATAGCAGACTGCTAAGATCAGAGATGCTTTCTCTGAAGAAAAACTAATAGTTTCCTGTCCTTGAAAAACTATTGTGTGAAAGTGCCCTTCATTCAGTATTCAGATCAGTGAAGAGTCTCAGACAATTCAAAATGGGCCAGAGTTGACCTCTGATCAGATAGTGCCAGAATTGTAAATTTACGAGGGTAAATGCAGCGTAAATGCTTATCTGAAAATGATGTAAGGTTTGGACTGTTGTTCCAGAGCACCCTAGGACAATTCGGCCACCAGCTGTTGCACACAGATCTTCTGAGATGGTGCAAGAATGCGTCCTCAGATCCCGTGCTGAGCTGTTTCAGCATGCTCAGCTGGCAGAAAATAACTCCATTTTATTGTTAGCATTTTGCTGACTCATTTGGACAAAATGATTCAATGCGGGATCAGAATAAGTGAGAGCATTGAGCCAGGGCAGAGAGAGGGTAGGACTTCAGCATCCTGTGGTTAGATTGACCTTGGTTGTTGGGGAAGCACGGTCTCGGTCACGCTTGGAGTTAGGCTGTTCAGTCCCTTAGGAAGGAAAGCCTGGGTACGTGTTAAATGGAGTTTAACATCACCCCATAAAGAATTCCAGCTTGGAGGTTGGAACATTTCCATAGTGCTTGCATATAGCTAGCTGAATGTAATGTAGAAAACTCAAAATAATCTACTAAAGTGCAAAACAGCTGTACTTTTAATGTATCTATCTGGATGTTTGACACTGCATTTGGTAAATGTAGAAAACCCAAAATCATCTATTAGATACATTAAAAGTACTGCTGTTTTGCACTTTATCTGGATGTTTGACACTGCATTTGGTGCTTGGGCATCCTGGCAGTTATCAAACATTGTGGCTGTTTTATGAAAGTAAGCTTTTAAATTAAAAAGTTTTAACTCTAAAATCCAGATAAGTGTCTCTAGGTGGAAAATCAGGTCCTAGCTGAGAAGGATTCTTCTGAACTCAAGTGCTGCTTTGTAATGCTGATTCATGCACAAGCCATCCTCAGAGATGGCAAGGACTGTGCCATCTGCTTTACACTTCAGGGCCTTACAGTGTCCCTCGTAATTTGCATTAGCCCCAAATGTGCCCTAGGATCCCTGTCCGAGGAGATGATCACACTGCTTTTCTAAGCAGAAGTTAATGTTGCCTCTTCCTAAGCTTTCCACAGTGCTGGGTTGTGGGGCAATGTAACTGTGACGATGCAAGTGTCATTCTTGTGAACCCTCTCTCTGCAACGGTGACGTGAGTGCTACCCTGAAGCTTGTGAACCTAGAACTTGCCAGCGTGTCAAATACTTTAGCCCGAGCATCACTGATATATGTGGGTTTTTTTTGTTGTTGTTGTTGCTGGTGAAACGGTGAATGAAAATACTGACATAAAGCATAAGGTGCCCAAATATAATTTAACTGGTTTCCCTGTTTTACAGATGGGGTCGAGGATTTGGTGTGTTGGGTTCCATCTTTGGAAAAGACAGTTTAATAAATCAGCCAAACAGTGTTTATGGACTCGTGTTTTATATACTACAAATGTTGCTTGGTAAGTATTAACACAATTGACAGTCGAAAATGTGTGACAGGTCTGTAGTGATGAAAGAAGTGTGTGTTACACATTGCAGAGTTTGCAGGAAAATGGATAAAATGCAAGTGACTTTTACTGCCTTTTTAGCACCAGTCCAGTAGTTCGTTTGTGCAAAGGGCTTAAAAACCCAGCTGCTAACAAGAGCAATCTCACTTGCTCCTGCTATGCTATTAATAACGTAAGCATCAAGATATTTTTACTTAAATATCCATAACAGTAGATTTGAGGATAGAAAAGAGCGAACAAAAATTAAATGGACATGTTTTATACGAATAGTATGGATAGTAGTTGAATGAATGAATGCATGCAATGTAGTCTATTAAAATACATGCAAATTTCTCTAACTGCATAATAACTAATAACGTTAACATGATTAGTGGTTATAAGTGGTTATATTAGTGGTTATAAATGCTTATTAGTGGTTATAAGTTGACTAACTTGGTAATTTTACCATAATTCGGGAGTAAGGAAGATGGTAACTATTACATGTGCCTCTTGCCCAAGACTGTTGTAGAGACCCTAGAATTGTCATTCAAAATAGCAATTTGTCAGTCACCTTGGAGTTGGGGTATTCTGAACAAATTTGTATGTTGTACAAACTTGCCAAATAGCCTTGGGTTTGAATGCAGGTTTTTAGGCTTTACTGTGTGAAGTGAGAGCAGTGATAGTAACTTTCTCTCTCTCGTTGCAGGTATGACAGCAAGTGCAGTAGCAGCTCTGATCCTCATGACATCCTCCATAGTGTCTGTAGTAGGGTCTTTATACTTGGCATATATTCTGTACTTCGTGCTGAAGGAATTTTGCATTGTCTGCATCATCACATATTTCCTGAACTTCATTCTCTTTATCATCAACTACAAACGACTAGTTTATTTGAACGAGGCCTGGAAACGGCAACTCCAGCCCAAACAGGAATAATGCCTGTTTGAACTTTTTGACTGACAGTCTGAAGACCCAACTTCCATTAAGTTTATTTTGCAGTAATTTTTTTATTCTTCATATCAGACACTTTCCCTGAGAATCATAACTGAATTTTTAATTATAAATTGGAAGGGGCCCTAGATAATTTTTTTGTGCTAACATTGAATTTAAATGTGGTTATGAAAGGAAGCTCTAATACAATCAAAGACAAGCTTTAACTTTACTTTAAAGGAGTTTTAGCCACAGCAAAACTAGACTCTCCCTCCGCCCCCTCCACCTGTGCAGTGGGTAACACTTGCTACAAAATATCCTGTATATAAATTCAATTTCAGGTATAACAAGATGTGATCATGACATTAAATATTCTAGGATAGGATTACCATATTTAATGTTGCCATGTTTACAGTATGTGTATTACATTTTTTTAAGCTGATGGACTTAGATTTGACTTGGACTTACACTGTAAATAAAACTAGAAATACTGGTTTCATCCCTGGAGAACTCACTGTACAATCAGTTTTGTTAGCCTGGGAGACTTCAGAGTGTTCAGCTAAGAGGTGACTGAGACGATGGAAGGAGTGACTTCTATAGAGAAAACGTTGCTGCACTCACTGCTAGTGCTTTCATAAAAAAAAAAAAAAAAAGAAAAGATGATTGGGTTTTGTTCCTTATTTCTTTTTTCTTTCCACTAATGAAAAGGGGAAAGCTGAAACCTGAAGTATGCCCATTAAACCACAATTTCATTAACTTCTGTCCAGAATGAAAATAACTAAATGTGGTCAATAGTAAGCTACCATCAGGATATTAGGATATTATATACACATTGGGGGTTGGTGTGTCGAAGAGATCTCTTTGAAATGGCTTAATTTCCATGCAGAGTTATGTTTTCATTTCAGAGTGCTGTCAGGCAGCCAGTGTTACTAATGTTTGATGTTATATGAATGCTGCAGTATAGGATTGCAATTTGCAGTGGAAACCACTGACTGGAATAGCCAAGTAGTGCACTGAATAAGCAGATACTTAATTGATCTTGGTCAGGATCTTTGGTTTGTGCTATATTGGGAAATGAACTTTAGGACAGATGCACGTAAGGTCCCTTGGAAGGGCAGTCTGTTTGGTGAGATAAGTAAATGTGCTCCTGAAAACGAAATGTGATAGTGCTATCATTGCTCTTTCTAATAACTAATTACAAAAAAAAGAAAAAAAAATTAAACTACAGATTTAAGCACCTGAACAAAATTGTAAATGTTCTTTCTGCACTCAATATTCTAAGGCTGAATGTTAAAAGTGCCTTCTGTCTTTTGAAATCTTAAACCAAATATTTCGTGGTGAACTTGGCAGGCAGAAGCTCCTGGCTTGAAAAAATGAACAAACAAAAAGGGAAGAAAAAAAAAAGGGGGCAACAGAATTGCTGGACATAGAAAGATATTCAGATATCTCTTTTAGTTTTTAGACTGAGAAGTGGTAGCAATATTGTTTCAGTTAAATCAATGTGACAGAAGGTTGATGCCATGATTCAGAAAAGTAAAATACTTCTGTTTCAAACTGTGTGACAGCAAAACAAAAGGTTTGGCTACTTTCTCTAATTGGTGCTGTGCTGCTTCTTGCCCTTGTCAGCTTCTAAATATGAAGAGTTCCAACTGCATACCCATTTATTTAAAGAGTTAAACTAGTTTAGTTTTTTTCTTAAACATGAATGTCTGAGACACTTACGCTGTATTGCTAAGTGAATTTTAAACACTAAGTTACTGAGGATAAACTTGACTGTGAAACATGCAGTGTTCAGTAGAGAAGATAGGATTTTAAGACTCAATTCACAAATTAGTATTTAAATTACTACTGAGATAATTTTCTGGTTTGTATCCAAGATGTAGGTGGAAACTGCTTTATGTATAAAGTTCTGTGGTATGAGTAACATCTGTTGCATGTAACACTAAATTACTTGTCCCTCTTGTCTAACAGTTTTGGACAATGCATTTTGTATTGACCAGAGTATAGTTAAAGCTTGTCTTGATGTTTAGTTCTGTCTCTTAAATGCCTTGAACTTTGATGTGAAAGGAGCGGACAATGTTAAACTGGTCCCTCAAGGTTTTACTGTGTCCTTTTACATGCCTTGAGGCAATACTGCTGTTTCACATGTTGTATAGATTCGTTTTGATGCATTCCTGTGATCTAGACTAAGGCATCTTTCCATCCAAGGAAGAGGTGAACACGTGCAGCCTGAAATGGTTAGTTGCAGTGCTAATACCTCAGAGCAAGCAGCGATGGAGACAAGTATAATCAATGATTACTTGGTCCAATTTCTGGTTTAATCCACACCAAAAAAAAAAAAAGGAAAAAAAACAAAACAAGTCCCATCAACTGAAAGTTAAGTGTTGACTAACTTCACTGTGTCTTGTGCTTGTCTGTGTGGGCATAGTCTGTTAATTCGGTTTGTTGAGTAAAATTGTTTGGGGCCAGATTTTCTGCATTTATGTCTGCAGTCCTTGTTTATGTGCACATAGGGATCAAATGCAAAATTAGTTTGGTCTCTGGAAGAACTTACAGCTCTGTGCACGATCTGGCAATTCTGATCCTTAATTGTGAACTTTTTTGTCTTGTGTGCTTTTCTTACAGATACTTTTTACTGGAAGTGGTTTGCTACAAGTGGCCCTAATTCTACTTTCATGCTTTAGAAATGCAGTTGGCATGAATAAAGGGCAAAATAGTACTAGCAGTAGAAATTTGGACCTTTTTGCTTCCAGTTTTTTGACTCTTTCCTCATTGTTGCCAACACTAGAAACAGCAGATTTCTTCCAGTAAAATGGCTCAGGTTACGATTAGGAATGTGACAAATCAGACAAGTGCTTCATGCAACTGCCCCCCACCTGGCCCAGACAAAACAAATGTCATGGCAAATAGATGTTTGATGCTAATTTGACCTTTTCAAAGCAGAATGTAACATCTGGGAAGCTTCCTGGGAAATCTTGAGGATATGAGAGTATGGCTACCTGCTAGTAAGTAATACCTGGTTTGGAAGAGAGATGATGGGGGCAGTTTCATTACACAGATTCTAGTTGTGGTTTCAACACACATTAGAACTTAAATGGCGGGGGAGGAAGTCAATTAAAAAAAAAAAAAGATAAAAACAGTGGTTTTGAATATGGGACACTACTTTCCTCCCTTGCTCTCAGGAGTTCTGCAGGGAGGGCTGGTTGGGGAGGCAAAAGAATGAAATCCCCAAACTTGTTTAGGAAATAAACATTCCTGAAATCCTTTTACTGTAAGGTACTTACTACTCCTAAGGCCAACGAAGCATTTAAGTCTCCTTTAGAAAATGAATGTTCTTGCAAGTTTCTTACTGTAAAGTATTTGCAACTCTTAAGGCCAATGAAACATTCCCTACCACTTTCCATGTCCGAGGTGAGGATGGATTTCTCTAATTGGGAGATTTCTGCATACTGTAGTATGTATTTGTCTTCTGCTGTACAGTGTCTTGATTCAGAAAATTTGGCGAGGTGCTTCAGGCAGCGCTTGAGGCTCCGAATTTGTATGGGCTAAAGCTAGAGAGATCTGCCAATGTTTAGACACAATCTAGAGAAAACCGGTCCAGAAAAGATGAAGTATTCTGTTACCATAAAACTGTATTAAGCATGGCCTAAATATTGGGTGTTTGTTCTGTATAGTATGTTCCATCAACTATTTATTAGTAGTGCTTTAAACTCCAGATTAAACATCCATTTAAGTGGAGTCACTGGGCAGATGTTCCTTTTATCGATACAGGTTGAGAGATTCTCTATTGGAGGTTTAGGATACAATTTTGCTAACAGGTAAAACAATGTAAATATGTATGAATCTTATTTGTTGCACATAACTTTTTGGTATAAAAAAATAAATGTAGAAATTATCTGTGGATGTCTTGCTGCAATCATTCTTATGCTGCATTCATGCAGTCCAAACATAAGAGCTTGAATGAACCCAATCAGAGGCCTTTTTGGACTCCGTCTGAGCCTTAGAAACTGTTTTTAAAGTCAGTACTGTAATTCTGTTTCTAGAAATGTATTATGTTGTGATTTTTTTTTTCAAAGAAGTTGTATGTTAGCAGTAGAAGGGTTAAAGCACTCGGATCCCCAGAGATACTGGTTTATAGAGTTCTCGCAACTTCGTTGTGTATTGCTGAATGTCGTGTGCTCGCGGGTGCGTCAAGGTTGAGCAGCAGTGACCACAGGCTTTACTGTTTAACAGTTCTTTAAGCAACATGCAAAAAAAAAAGTGTGTTTTAATCACTTCCTGCTTTCCTTTGTTCTGTAGGTCTGCTTTAGCTGCACTCTGACAAGATCACAAAGTATTTGAAAACTGCTGTGTATTTTTCCTGGATATTGGGAAGTGGAAAGGGGTACTTTGGGAAAGGGTTGGATAGGTGGGTTGGGCTTAAAATTGCACTGAGCTGTTAAGAACATAAGCAGGAAATGAGACTCTGAAACGTGTGCTTGCCATAAATGTGGATATTAAACTCTGCATCTGTCTTGTTGGACTGAATGAAAGTAGAGCTTTCTCTTCTGCAAGTCCTGTGTATGTCAGAGGGACCTGAGCCCTAGTTTGCAATGCGTTAACCATGTCAAATCTGTGTTTTTATGTGGCTGCTGTTGGTATGTCATGCTGTCAGTGTGGGGAACAAAATAGCTTAAAAAATTAAACTCTAGTGTCCAAGAGGTTGAAACAATTCTCAAACACCATTAGTGGGCTTATATATGGTATCCGCTCTTGTACAAGGTAACATTTGAGTGACTGTCATCTTAATATGGGTAAATATTTATATTCTGGGTTTTTAGTTAACTAGAAAATCTATAAAACTAATACAGTGTAACCAGGAGGAATCTTAGTATGTTTTTCTTTTCCCTTAGAAACTCAAGAAAAAAATTCTGAAACCTGTAATAAGAGTTTATGTCCTTATTCTGCATGTGGCAGTGGAAACTTTTCTTGGCTTCTTATGTATCGTCTATGAAAGGAAAAGAATTTGGCCATCGTGCTGCACAGTAACAATGTCTTGGTCACTTGAGGCACTAGCACAAGACTCACTTGGCAAAAAAACAGACATAGCAATGCTGTTTTACTCGGTGAATCAGAGTGTATTGAAACGACTTAACTATCCTAACTTCCAAAATTCCCTAGGCAGCCTCCAATTTAGTGCTTCTGATAAGGGTGGTGATGTTGGTGGGACACCCTTTGAGCATTTGCAACAAGGAGCTTGCGGATGGGAGGGTTCTGAGCTCTGCTGGGAGCAGTGACACAATCTACTCCAGTCTAAGGCCCAGCCTTTAGAGGCCCCTAATACTGGTGTGCTGCCTGCAAGGGGAAGTTATTTTACCACATTACTGTCTTAAAGAGACATTTCTCCAATAATTTACAAAACATTCTACCCCAGGGTGCTTCGGATCAGTCTCGGAAAGACTCAAGTTGGACACATTGACCCTCTAAATGCTGTTGCTGCAGTTCCATAGTGACAATTAAATATGAAGGAAGCGCTCTTCCATACTGGAAGGTAAAACTGCATCATATAGTGGTAGTTCTAGTACTGTGATTAAAGTAGGCTTAAACAAACTTCGGTCAGTGTAGGTACCTACTTATGTGACATACTCTATCTTGCTGCTATCGTATGAATTCCATATCCTATTGGAATATGCTGGGTATCCTTTTCAAAGTGGCTCACACACTTCCTGGCTGCTGTTGACTCTCGGGATTTCCCACCTAGCCACGTGTGTCCTATCCAGCTTTCAACAGGAGAACCCTATACATTTTGCTCTTCGGGGATCCTGTGGAC